GCCCTCATGTAGAATTAACTGGCCTGGCATAAGTGAAACCTGGGATCATATTGTTTCTTTACCTGAGCTCATTTGGCTGAACTAGGATGGGCAACTTCTGTTTAAGTGAAACAGATGTAGGATATGAACATAACTGTCCCCAGTCCTCAGTTGTCTCTAAGGACTCTATGGGCTCTGAGTACACCTGACAAACCTATTAAATCTCTGACTATCAACATTAATTTACAGGCAATGGAAAACTAGCATGGCTTTTTGCTAATACAGTCATATTTGGTTCAGCTGGAAAGAGGAGTGCTTTTGGAAAGACTAATGTGGAAGGTAGTTGGTAGCTTCCTGAAGGGCTCCAGCATGTGCAAAAAGCACTGGATTTACAAGTGAGGAACACGGGGTAATCCTGCTGAGTAAAGTGCCAGGCTTCTTCTTCCTGTCACCTATGTTTCAAACAGTTGGTGTTTTCTCTTCTCTGGGAGTAGAATTTCTTGTGATTTTTAGCTGTTTATTGTCTAGTTAAATGAGAAGTGAAGTGTTACTTTAGTTGCTTCAGTTCTGAGCGTGACAATGCTTCTTGTACCTTAGTGCCAGTGGTTGACTTCTCATTGGAATTCAACCCTCCAGTCATTCTCATGATTGGTGCTCCAATTTTTCGTGCTCAGTACCTAAGTAAACAATATCAGCTCCATCTATAAACAGTATCAGCTCTGCAGGGACTGTGTTTATCAGAAGGAACCTGAGCATTCTTCATTATTACTGTTTTCTTACAGGCTGTGTGAAGAGTTTGCATTGAAACAGTCATATCCTTGATCATGTGGTGCAGCATGTTGCAGGTTTTGGAAATGTATTAAAATCCATTCTAAATACAGATGTTTTAGGAATACTGCTGTGGGAGGAACATGGGGCTCAATTCTGCTAGCAAACTTCTAATTATTTCTATTGATACTAGGGAACCATGGACTTGTGAAGACAGACTCTAATGCCATGCTGGAAAAGCTTTGTCAAAGTTGTCTAAAATTTGGAGCCTAAAACTCAGATCTTGCTCAAGTTGAATTTTCAGGGTTTGTCTGAGAGTTGTTGACTGTGATTCATACAGTCAACTTCACTCTGCAGCAACACATACTCAACACCTTACTCAAATGCTCTTCTTAACCATTGCTACTTTAAGAAGGATAACTGTTGGTTTTTAGCAAACCTGAGTATGCACAGACTAATGCAGAGTAACTTCACTCTAGTTTAGGGCTGGCTAAGTAGGCACAAGGCCAGGGATTTTACTTGCTAATGCTTTTTTCCTCCTTTACCTATTGCACTAAGTGAGAGTGCATCCCAACTCTGACCTGGTCGTGTTAGTGTCCTTTTTAAAAATTAAAAAAAAAAAAAAAAGGAGGAGCTTCCAAGCCATGCTGTGGGGAGGAGGGAATTATGTGGCTTAGAATGAATGTAGGTAATCATAATGAATGACAGGTAAGAAAAAGTCCTGCTGGCAACTGATAATTCCCCACAAGCCAGCAGGGCTTGGCCTATTTCTGTCTCCTACCAGCAGATTGAAGCTGAAGTTTAGCATAAAGCAGACAGTGTCAGCAAGCTTGGTTCAATTTTGATTAGTAAGCTACTGGTAGATTTTGTTTAATTTTCCTTCTCCTTTCCTCTCCCTGATTCTCCTTTCCCTGCTGTTTTCTCATTGTGAATAGACCAACAAAACATATCTCACTTTCTCCCTTGTTGCTGCATGACATAAATTATACCTGATACTCCTCAATAATTATAAGTTAATTAACACTAAGCTATTTTTACAAGCCTCTTTATTACAATGCAGCAAACTGCATTCCTGATTTATCAGCATGTTGCCAAGTGTGAATGAAAAATGCTTTAAGGCAAAACAGTGTTCAGGATAGTTTCAGTCTGGGCAATACTGGTTTAAATGAATGCATGAACACTCATAAAGATGTTACTAATTCAAGGCTGTGTGTCACAATTTGTTTTCAAAATTAGTATGGTGAAAGGAATGTGTTGGTCCAGAATCTCCAGAAATGGTGCCTCAGTTCCTTATCAGTGGGGACTTTGGAAACATTTTCAAGTTAGAGTTTTGGAAAGGAAGCCGAGATGAAACAGGAACTAAGAACAAGAATGTTGTTACTGCTTTCACTTCTTTGTGCTGTTGCTGTATGTTTGTTGCAGTGACCAACCATTTTACTGGAAAAAAACACTTAATACCTTCAAAATCAAGGTTTTCTACTTTTTGCAAATAATTTGATGAGGTTCCAGCAGCCTTTGGACACCTGCTACCTTCAGCCATGAGTCTTTCTTTCAGACACTAGGAATTCCATGTTTAAGGATACTATGCCCATTTCAGCTTTTTTTTTTCCGGACTGAAGAGTCTTTGTTCATGTCACCATTTCTTGCATGTCCTTCAGTTCTTTCCAGTTCTGATTCATGACTCTGTACCGGCGTGTAACAGTCAAACATCAGTCTCATTTTTGACCTTTTGCTTGACCTGTCCTACTTTGCCAGGCAGAGTTTTCCCAAATAATACATCTTGGTGTTCTTCTCTGGAAGAGTCTAGTGCTTGTTTAATTTTGCATTCAGAAGTCTGTGACAGAGGCATATTCCTACCATGAGCTCTGCACATGGCTTGTTGCTCAGTTATTAGCAGCTTTCTCCTCCTTTTGATGAAAAATGCAAGTAAAACTGTAGATGATCAATTCAAAAGGCCAATTTCAGTTGACCTGCCACCCCTTGTCCACCCCTGCAAACACACCTGCCACAGTCTGTGCTCCCTGCAATGCAGCAGCAGCTTGCTCAATGTCAGGGGTTGTTGCCAAGGTTCATATCTCAGACACTTGGAAATTGGTGTGCTCATGTTGAGAAGAAAACCACTGTCTATACAAATCATGTAGAGACTGAAACAAGTGAAAATAAGAAGTTGTATCTGTTTTCCGAGATGAACAAATTTGCTCCAAGATCTGAGATGCTTCATGAGAACTATGATACCAAAGTGTAGAATATGACTAGGAATCTCAAGAAAGATTGTTTGTTTGTTTTGCTCTTTCTCAGAAAAGAAGAATTACATTAAAAATCAAAAATATCAGCAACATAGGGGGAGTCAATTTATTTGCCCATTAAAAATCGCCCAAAACACAACAATAAAACTGTGTTCATTTAAATCAAACTGAGTTTAGTCTAAATTTCTGAAATCATTCCCATTCATAATTTATCTTTCTTTCCTCTCCTGTTTACTTACAGGAAGCCTTTCTTTCCCTACTTAAATGCCAAAAACCATTATGCTGCTTCTCTCCACTGTAACTACCAAAGCCCTGCCTCAACAATGACTCTCAAGGTCAGAGCAGATTAAGGGGGATAAACACTTTAAGAGTGCTGGTCTCTTATCTGCCAGGGCAAGTCAGCACTCTTGTTCACACATCTTGAACCAGGAAGATTGATTAAAAGCCCCACGTGGCCATAAGGTCAGAATGTGAAATAAATGACTTCCAGGTTCTCATGTAACAAGAGTCTTAGGAGAATAGAAGACTTGGGAAGAAAGCAAACCCTAGAAAAAACAAACCCAAAGAAAGGTCCCTTCGATCTGGTGTCTGTCTGACATCTGTAACACTTCAGATTCTAGAAAATACGTATGTCACTTTATAACTTCTGATTTTCACTGCAGTTCAAGTCTATTTTGTATATATATTAAAAATATAAATATATTTTATGGACAGAAAGAAAATTACTTTCCTTTAATGGTGTCTCCCTTCCCTTCCTGAGCTGCAGAGGTTACCCAAGAGAGCTGTATTCACACGTTGCTCTGAATTGGAAGAAATCTTTTTTTTTTTTTTTTTTCCAGCTTGTTCTTCAGACTGTGACGTTAGAAATCAGGGCCTGGTGTGATATTAAGCTGAACAGGTTGAGAAGAAAAGCAAAGGCAAATGTGCCTGTTGCTTGCAGATAAAATTCCAGGGTTAACTCTCCTACAATGGTGAGACCCAAATGTGGTATTATTATTTTTTTGACTCTTTGCTTGTAATTTGGAGCTGAGACTCCAGGCTGAGTCCACTGTGTTGCTCTGAGTATGCAGGGCGTCCCAGCTGTCTGAGACTGCTGATACAGGTGTAACATGGCCCAAAACACAGGGTCTTCACTAAGAGATCTGTGAGCAAGAGAGCAGACCTGAAACCTGATGGTTAGTGCTCAGTGCTGTCAGCTCCTGGGAATGTTTTGGTAATGTGCAGTGAAAGATGGGCTTTTATCCTAACAACAAACTGGGGGTCATGACTTAGTAATTAAATATTGGAAAGACACACTTTGCATATTTAAAAAAAAAGAAAGGGTAAATCTGCTGGCCAGAAAAGAGAAAACCATCTGTGTAACATAATAATATTTTCCTGCATTTGTCATCTTTTCCAGAGGTCTTTCACTAATATTTTTATGTTCCTTATGCTTTTTCTGTTCCCATTTTTATTTCTTTAGTAGCAAATAAAGGAGAACCAGAGGAGGCCTTTAGAATGGATACAAAATGTTTAATGAGCTTTGTCATACTGAATGCAGATTTTCTTCTGTCATTACTCAAATCATCAGTAGGGATTTTCTGCTGTTATCTGTCTTAAGCCCTTCTGGAACATGGTTATGAATTTTAGCCATATACAGCTTGGATTCTTTGAATTTCCATTTTAGAGGAGAGTCCTAGGGATTAAAACAACATTCACCACCTCACTCCAAACTACTGTTTGATACCACACCTTACCCTCAGCCTTTGGGACCTGACACTAAGTGACTTCCATGTGACTCTTGGCCAAAGAGGGCCCAGAATTTAGTTGAACCAGTAGAGTTCTTCAGAGGTTCCCAATATATCAAGCAAGACTACATCTTGAATGTATTTTCTGGAAAACAGGTTGAAATTTCTGGTTACCTGTTGTTTTGCAGTGAATAACTCTGACAAATAACAGGTCACATATAAATGTCTAACTGCTCCCTCACTTATGGATTCAGTAAGTTTTCTCTTTCTCTGTTTTCAGAAGCAGAAACAGAAATCCTATTGGTCCAGGAAAATATGGATATGGAAAAGTGCCATACATTTTACCTTTACAAACTGACACTGGTCAGCAGCCTCAGAAACTCCGGAGGCAGCGCCAGTCCTCGAGGAGCCACGTGTTCCATGCAAGCCCGAACCTCATGAGCACCTACAGCCAGGCAGCTGCACCTCCACTCCAACATGGCAATCTTTACCAAGAAGCAAGTGGGCCTCAGGCAGGACATCAGGTCCTGGGGCCCTCAGTTTATCAGTCCCCATCATTTCCTGTGTCTCAAAGCCTGTTCCACAGCAGTGACCCAAACCAGCACAGCCCTGGGTCAGCCCAAACCCTGCAGGGGCAGCCCCAGCCCCCAAGGGCCACGGCCATCGTGTGCGTTGGCACCTACAAGCAATATAAACTCTGCAACACAATTGTAAGTCTGCATTTTAAATAACCTTCCTGTATTTAATGTGTTGGACCGCTATGGCTTTCCTCCAGCATGTGAAATGGTCACATAATTGTCAAGTCGAGTGTTGTTTTTTATTAATTTAATGAAAATTTTGGTGAACTTATTTAAAGTGTCTTAGGGAGTACTGAAAGTAGATCCATAATACTATAGTTACTTAAAACCATACCTTCAAGGATTTTAAGCAGTCACTTGAACTACCAACAATGTACAATTCTAATTTGATAGAAGGAGAAACTGGTCTTTTTGGTGCTGAAACCTGGGAATATGAGGAATTTGAGATAATAGTAATGGAGGTAGGCAGGCAGCAAAATATGGACTGAACAATGTTAGTGAGTGGAATGATCATGGAGAATTTTTGTTGTAATTATGGTGAAGGGACAAGTGATGGTGTCTGTGTAAATTGTCCACTTTTATTTGGTGCTGTGATGATGTTACTTTGATTTTTTTGTGGGGGGAATTTTTTTTGTTTTGGTTGGTTAGCTGGTTGGTTGGTTTTGTTGACGTTGAAGGTTGTGTGATGAATGTGGATTTTAAGGATAATTCTTAAATATGTGATTTACAGAGGCAGGGTAGTGTGGAGTGTATTTGGTTTGCATGGCCAGGTTTTGGTAATCTGTGCTGAACTGACCATAACACCCATTCCTGTCTCCCTGCACTGTTGGGGGAGAGGAAGTAGAGTCCAGGAAACAGAGAGAGGAATGGGGAGAAGGTGCTTTTAAGATTTGTTTTACTTGTTGTTATCCTGTTCTGATTTTGACCGGTTAAATAAATTCAGTTAATTTCCCCAAGTCCAGATTGGTTTGCCCGTGATGGGAGTGGGTGAGTAACCTCTCCCTGTCCTTATCTCAGCTCATGAGCCTCTCCTTACATTTTCTCTCCCCTGCCAGTTGGGAAAGGAACAGCCTTACCTGTCATCCAGCCAGGGTCAAACCATCACAGTCATAGACAGGTTTAATGTTTTCTCATGAAAGAAATGAAAAAGTGGAGTTGGGGTGGAGCATGAAGGCTACCTACTTCCCAATCCCATAAGAAAAGGTTATCCTTTTGTGAGTGCTCCTCATGTTCTAACTGGCATTTAGAGCCAGTACCTGGTAGCCCAGATCACTCCAGGATCTTTTCATGGTGCTGTGTACATTTTCTGACAGATTCTACTTTTCCCATCATTCAAGCTCCACATGCTTTGATTTTGACTTCCCTAATTCATTGGAATGAAAATCTGTGTTAATTTTTAAATAAAACTTACTCCCTCGCTACTTGATTAAAAAATGTTTGGCTGGGTGTAGCTCCATGCTCCAGGGCAGCCTCTCATTGTATGTGGGAGGCGAGTGAGGTTTTGTTCTTTGTCCTGACTAGCAGTTTTCATCCTGCTAAAATTTCCAGTTTCTGCCTGTGCCATTTTAGTGTTTCCCAGAGTATCTCCTCCTAATATTTTTATCTTGTTTGGGCTCCTAATCTAACCTAATGTTACCAACATCCTGTATTTGGATACTGGAAGCAGGATGTTCAGGAGAGGTCTCAATATGTTGACGGGACAGGCCATATTTTTCTGGGTGGGTGCACATCTGATTTTTCTGCCTCTGAAAAATCCTGTTTTGTTCAGTGGAAACCTGCATAGTGGAGATGGAACAACAGAACACAGGATAACAAAACCATGACTACACAAATTACTAAGAGGCCTTTTTGCCTCTTAGTGTAGCAGTTATTATATCTGCTTTATTTATAAATAAAATCCATTGATACAGCCTAGAGCAGTTGATTGAAGAGACATAATGTCAAGAAAGCTTTAGTGTATTTGTCTGGAGTGGAAAACATGAAAGAGCTAATTTGAGCCTCTGAGAATAGTCTCTGGTATAAATCACTGTTTTAAAAAACACTCTGTTTTTTGAAGGAAATGGGAAATGACCTTAGTGCATGGGCATTAATTTGGAAAGTTTTCTGGACTGAATTTGCTCAGTGGTGTCCAAGCAACACACAAATGCCCCAGTCTTTATTTCACCCCTCACTCATCAGGGCACAAAGTTGGACAGTGTTCTGCTTGACTTCATGTAAGAAAATCGCTTCCAGGAAAGAGGTCTTTTCAGAAAGCAAGGGGTCAGAGGTGAGAAAGTTAGAAGTGAGGTGGAAGAAAGAAGCAATCCCAGACAAGGTATGGTAAAGGAAGGCTTATGGAGAACGTTTATTGATAATGAGAGGTGGGCTGGAGTGCAGAGGGCAGCGAGCTTGTGAATTGGACATTGGCAAGCTATGTAGGTCAGTGTGATGAGGGGTTTGGCCATGGGCAAATTTCTTTTGGTAGAAGGGGAACAGGACTGAAAATGTTTCCATGTCAGTTTTAGAATCTGTTGTTTAAACAGAAGAATTCAACAGATAAAAACATAGGTGAGCATAATATTTCTGCATCTTTGCTGTTGTTGAGGGTGTAAATGCAGTTACAAAGAAATTCTTGGTTATATTACAGGAGACTTTTAATAGCAAAGGGAAATTGTAGATGATGCAGCTTCTCCTAAGCATGGAACTCTCCATAGTGATATTCTTTATTTAGTAACATTTCTGTTACCCTTGTTGAAGCTGTAATTGCTGTTCAGGGTTATTTCTCTCCCTAGAATGTGGTAATTAAAGTAATTATAGAAAAGAAGTAGCTAAGAACAGTTTTAGTGTAAAGGCCAGGACGAGAGCAAAACAAGGCTGATAGTGTTTCACTCTGTTCGCTTGTTCTTTCTGATTAAATGCTTCTGCACGCGGGCTTTAATTTAATTTATCAGCAGTGACTTGTACCAATAGTCTTGCCAGCAAGCAAAGAACAGCATCTTTTAAGTGTTTTTTTTTTTTTCTTCAGTTCTTCTGGAGCATACCGAAAATGAAAATCTCATTTATTGAAGATATTCTGTTAACCATTATCCTGGTGTTTGGCCACTCCCTCTACAGTTTCTCCTAAGGGCAGTTAAGTAATAACAAATTAAGTCAATCTGCCTCAGTCCATTAGGTCATTTCCTCATTATTGTACATTTATGTTTTTTCATTAATAGCCAAACTCATTTTACATGACTGACAGCTTGATTCGGAAAAGTTAAATTGTGGGGTTTGTTTGGGGAGACCCTCGGAAGTGCCTGTATTTGTTCAAGTGTTCCTGCAGATCATTAAACCTATTTTCTCATTACACAAGTGGCTTCCCCTCTTCAGGACCTTGCCTACATGCTCCCCTCAGAACACACAGCTGCCTGTCATCTCCTTGGGCAGGAAACAGGCAGGAAACATCTCTCCTCTGCACACAAACAACACTGACAGGTCTGACTGAAACCATAAGCTACCTGCAACACAATAAGATTCTTCCAGTGCAGACTGCATTCCTCCAAAATAGGGAACTGATGAGTAAATCTTCCTTACTTCCCCCTGCATTAAAGGGAAGGAGAATTGTATGGATGCGTGGTTGAAGTAGAATTTGAATGCAACCTTCTTTTTGTGGTTTGTCACCAGAACAAAGGAAGCAACTCAAATGGAACATTTATTTACTGAGCACTTTCTGTAATTAATTGTCTTGAGCACTGCCAAGTTACCAGCTTACCGCTAGTGCCTAAAAGTGTGAGAATGTATTTGTAAATTAACTCCAGACTGCAGGTCACTTGGGCAGTGTATACAAGGAAGCTTTCAGGGCTGTTGACATTCAAGACTGTTTGTTTTGCAGTGTAAATTTGGTGATACAGAGTGCCCTTTTTAAAAGGTAATTTTAGCTGATTGATTTAATTTTTTTGTAAGGCATGCAGTGAATTTTGGCTTGTTGGTAAATACAGTAATTTTTAGTATGTCTCTATCCTTAGTATGTAGAGATCTTATTGCAGCCTTTCAGTACTCAAAGAGGGCTTATAAGAAATATGGAGGGACTTTTAATGCCTGTAGTGTCAGGACAAGGGGCAACCCTTTTAAATTAAGGGAGGATGGGTTAAGAGTGGACATAAGGAAGAAATCTTTCCATGATGATGATGGTGAGGCCCTGGCACAGGCTGCCTAAATAAGCTCTGGGTGCTCAAGACCAGGCTGGATGGGGCTTTGATCAATCTGGTCTACTGGAAGGTGTCCCTGCCCATGGCAAGGGGGTTGAAATCAGGTCATCTTTAAAGGTCCCTTCCAAGCCAAAACATTCCAGGATTCTACATTGTCCTTGATGGAGAGTTCAGCCCTGAAGGCCCCATTTACACCAACAGCTTGTTATCTCTCCTCCTCTGCATTTCCCACTTTCCAAATTGCACCAAAACAGCTGATGAGGTCACATAGTAACCACGACCAGTTAAGTACTCTGTTTAGAAAATCTGTAAAATAAAATATTGTCTGTTTTGGTGATTCACTTATATCACAACAAGGAGTATGAAAACCAGGTAGAGAAATTCATATATGAGTTTCAGCGTGAAGAGCAATGCAAAAAGGATGTAAAATCTGAGTTATCCTTTTGTCCAAATTTATATCTCTCTTTATATAGTAATTTGCAAATAAAAACTCCAAGATAAGATGTATGAAAGAGTAACTGTTGAGGGCTCACTGAGATATTTATGGATGAAGTTTTGCTGAGCTTGTCCAGTTTATTCCCAGTTGCTGGTTCACATGGATTACTATCATGTCTCCAATTACATTGTGTTGTCTTTCCCAGTATTTTATGTCACTGGTACTTAACAAGAAGTAATTGTGTTTTGGAGAAGTATCTAGAGAGGATCAGAAAAAACCGATTACTTTTACTTTCTTGCCCTGACTCTTCAACTGTGCAAACTGTTATAATGGTAGCACAGCTATGGAAAATCCAGCCTTTTGTTGTGAATGAGAGTCCTCTACTTGGACCTGTGTTCCTGTGTTCCGAGCACTTGAGAACAGCATCTGGGCAGCGAATGAATGCAAAGTATCTGAAAAGACAATTTTGGAAATTGAAGAGATGAGGTAAAAGGCTCAGGACCAATCCCCCACTTTATTGCGATGGGATA